TTTGATGACGTAGTCTTGCGATCGATTTATGAATCTCCCATTTATTTGATGACGTAGTCTTGCGATCGATTTATGAACCTCCTGTTTATTTGATGACATAGTCTTGCGATTGATTTAAGAACCTCCCATTTATTTGATGACGTAATCTTGCGATTCATCTAAGAATTACTGCGATCATGCGATTAGTCTTGATAACGCTATGACACAGTAAAAAAAAAAGTCCCATCAACGAGATACTTTATTTAAAATTTAGCAAATAAACGATCCATTCATATTATGCAATATGATAAATGGACGCATGAAAAGGCGATTTCACCAATAATGCTAATGAAAATGATTACTGTAATGGAAGGAATGAATCAAAAAGAACAAAAACCAATCCTTGTACATGGTAGCTATGGGATTCGAAGAACTGCTATTTTTGTAATCACCTCATTACTGATAAGACAAGTATGGCCTTATCATTTTATATCATATTCTTTCATAGATAGATACCATTTGATATATCAAAAGATTACCGATTATATTACGCTTTATTTTATTTTCTTGCTCTTAGATTATGGTGACTTATCGTATATCGATATTAGTTACGATTGATATGTTAACTTTTGACATAATTATTGATTATATTACATTCTATTTTATATTTTTGTTCAGATTACGGAGACACATCGTATGTCAATATTGAACACAGCTATAACGGTATGCAAACGACGTTACGGTGTTTTGCGATTGTTAGCAGATTATCGTTTAATATTGCAATCTGCATTATATTATGCAAAACAATGTGATTTAATTAAAAATGAAAAAACATTTATGGATGCTATAGATGTAAGTGAATGCGATTACATGTTAACCTTTGACCCCTTTGAATTTCAATAAGCTTTATGTTTTTTTCTATGTTGTTATTATATTCATAATTATAACTTTCATGTTTTTTTTTTATTCTTTCATTTTTCTCTATATATTTGATTATAATTGAAGTTTATTTTCATGATAATTCTTTTAAATTTAATTCAAAGCATAGCAATAGTCGTATAATTGAGATAATTTTACAAATATTAGTTGGTAATTTTTTATTAATTATAGCATTGATATGATAATGGAAGCAATTTTTTGTTCATCATAATAAAATTCACCATCAAGTCTATGATATGACTTTATATCTCAGATGAATAAAAAAAAAAAAAGAAAAGAAAAAAATTGATGAGACAAAAAAGAAAAATGTTTAACACAAATATTACTTTC